ATTTCATGAAAAGCCTACTAGGAGATTGCGTAGGATTGTTCTCACTGATAAACTTTATGCAACATGTGGGCACAGTCAATCCCTGGGAACGAACATCCTACTAGCGCTGAATCTTGTCAACCCCATAAACAGCAAAAATCTTGATCCTACAATCTCTATATCCCTTAAGTACTTCAATTATCCGTGGCCACAAACTGGCTTGTAAACCTCACACACAGAAATTAGTAAAACTCGTGTTTTTTGTAATAGCCCTGGTTCCCGCATGTATTTTTTAGCGCATGGAAATAAACATATGTTTGGAGCCTCTAGGAATGGGTTAACTGCTGGTGTTTGGGGCAAACCGGTCGTGAAAGGTTTCTTGGGGTTAAGTTTTTCTGTGATAGGAATGAAGTGAGACCGGGAAGTCAGTTCCCGCTGTACGGGTAGGGGTCAGGATCACTTGATGTTGAGGCTTCTTGCTGTATGCTCACACAAACTAGCCTGCAACCCCACAAAGCCCCTTTAAAGAGCACAGTAGTGTACGGTAGTCTTCGTAGGAACCTTTTAGGGGTTCCATGTTCGGCGGATGGTGCAAACGCGGAACCCAAACACCTTTGGTGTAAATGTGGCTGTCTCACTGGCTGCAGGGAGATATTTGGGGTTTCATGTTGGTTTGGGAGAGGGTTCAGGGTTTTCCCTCGGAGACTCAGGCTCTCAGGTCTGAAGGCGCAGGGGTTGCACAGACGTGTAATTACAAACGCTATCGCGCGCCGGCCTCAGCTGGCGGGGCGCGGAGCAAACGAATAGGTCATGGCATGTAGTTGACACGTGGTCGAGGAAGTAACGGAGGCAAGCCTCACTTCAGACGTGTTTTTTTCATGCCGCATGCCTGTTCCAGCATTCATGGAGGGGTTGTCTGGGCTTAGTCCTGAAGTGAGGGAGTTCGCAAGCTTCGAGAGCCGCAACCGTAGAACCGGCCTGGGCTGCGTTCCAGGGTCGGAAACTGTAAGTCCCCAAGAGCGATTCGCCGCTACTCCCCGGATCCTGAATGGGAACTCGGGGCGATACAAAGGGAGGTTTTGGACGAAAAATGTTCGCTGCCGTCGAACCTAGGGCGAGGCTGGAATGTCACGTGGGATGGTCAGGCTGGACTACGCCACCCGCCAGGGGGGGGATCGCCACGAGCGAACCGGTCTTCAAAAGGCAAGGAGAAGGTTTTTAGAGGGTTCTGAACGCCCTGAGGCTGGATAGCCTGGGCGAATTAATCATTGTCAGCGCTCGCGGTGAAGAGTCCTATAGCGTACCTACCTGGCAACATCGCAACATCGCTAGATGACCACACAAGCCCAAACCCCTTAAGATGTTCATTCCAAAATGCATCTGTTTACTTCCATTCTGCCGTGCAGCGTCTCCAGCTTGTACATAGGGATCTCAGGCACGTCGAGGAGTGCCTGGTGGGTTGAAAATAAGCGGCACGCAGTGCCCATCTCCGCCTCGCACTCGGAGGCCAAATTATGCCCAAGAACTGGACAACGACTGTTTCCCGCTCCCAACCCGAAGTTGAAAAGCCTTACACACAGTAGTTTAGGGCTTAGGGCTTGCACCAGCCCACAAAAGCATCGCATGGCCATTTGCACGTGAACCTGCTTTGCAGGATGCAGTGCCTACCATTACGATGCCTGGATGCAAGATACTGGTGTGAGGGTAGTGCTACAGGATTGGCAATGAAATCAGGAATGCTAATTGTCATGATCCTTGTATAGCCATAGTCTAGTACCAAGCAACATCCTATTCCAGTGATTCAGGCACCAACAGTAGACCTCTAAGAATCCGAATCTCACGTCCTGAGCGCGCAGGTCATAGGGATGTCCATTGCTACTATAATAACTTCAGCTGCCGGGAATGATGGTAAGACTGTTGCAACATGCCAAGCAGAACAGCCGTATTTCAATCAGAGCAGGAGCCTCGAATTGCCCAAAGAGCATGTTTCTTACTCAAACCTAAACATTCCTAGACGTCAAGCCGTTCGAGGCCTCTTCCCCCCCCCCCTCTGTCCTAGTCCCTGACGGCTTAACCTTTAGCACCTAACCTGATACCCTTACCCCATCTGAAGAAATTATCCCCGCTTCGTTGCCTGGGGAAAGCCGTGCTTGCACCAGAAGCCCAGGGGTCCCCAATTTTTCCTGATGAGCCTTAGGCCACTTAAGCCTAACATCCCAGCCCCAAAGTCCCATGTTCGTCGATACGGCCTTGTGTTACGAAAGTCCTGATCATTACCTGATTACCATCATCCCAAAAAGAGCGCCTTGAAGCCAAGCTCGCTCATAAGGATGCCGTCCTCGCCCAAGGGTACAGTAATCGTCCAGTCAGTTAGCCGGCCTCAGCAACCTGATCGCAAGGGCGGTTTTTGCAGGTAGAGGGATGGGAGTTAAGGGCTCAAGGGTCAAGAGGTTATTGGGTTTTAGAGCCAGGGCTGAGAGTTTAGGTTAAAGGTTCAGGGCTCCTGGAGTTCGGCGGGGCCGGGCGAATTGGAACCTAAGCAGGTGGAATTTTACTCGGAAGGTTTTTATCACTGGCATAAAGGTACAGGACAATACAGTGTCTAGTAAGGTAGGCTGCCCGTTGGGCGGCATGCGTTTTGTGGCTGAAGAGATGGAAGTTTAGGAGTTGGGGCTTCTGTTCTTGGGGTTGAGGAGTGTGGGGGGGGGGGTATGAATGAAGGGTTGAACGCCCAGGGCTTAAGACGGCGGAGAAAAGATAGCACTCTTCCAGAGATAGTGTAAGGGCCTCCAAATCACATATGCTACTCAATATCGGGACTGTCAGAAAGCACTCCCAACTCCAGGCCTGAATTCTGAGTCTCGCAACATGAGCCATAGCAAATTACACCCCAAAACCGCATCCTGATTGAACAGTCACCTGCTCTTCGCTTGCTTTAGGGAAGGGAGGTCTCGCAAACGGTTCGGAGCCCAAAAGCATTGCTGCCCCCGGGCTCTCAAACAAAACTGCTGAAATGGAAACAGTAAGGCAAGGCTGGTATAAACGATAGCCTACTTTCTGGCCTGCTTGAATCCAAGTTCCTGGCAGTACTCACAGCTTATGAGCCTGTCCACACTGGGCGGATTATCAATCACCATTGTAGCCCCGCACCAAACCCCGGGGCCCTAGATCCTCAAGTTCAAAACCCTATGCTATAAGCCCTAAGCCTCACCTCCTAAACCTAGAAGCAAACCTAAGCCCTGAACTGCTAAACGCTAAACTGCCCTACTTGCTTCTCTCATGCCAACGGGGAAAGTGTATGTGAAGTAGCCATATGAGGATTTTCCAACAACGGGCAGCATCAAAACAGACTCCGATAAACGAAGCTCCTTATTATAGGAGCTCCTAAACACCCAATTTCTGGAAATCTCTTTCTGGAAATCCTAAACTTGATATCTCGCCATGTAAGTAACGAACATACAAACTCCATGACCGCTCTAAAGGGACCTTACATTTTCCAGTGTATTCCACGCCTTGCCCTTGTCCTTGTCGGCAGAGGAGCCCGGAGAAGGTCCAGATCTTCGCTTCGCACGTGGAGCCGGTGGACATCCCCGAGGCCTGGGGACCTCGTTCACTGGGTCACTGTTGGATGCATCTTCATTTTTCTTATAACACAACCCAGTGGGGAATGTAAAGGTGAAGTTTCTGGTTCTCCATTGAGGATTCATGGTGTAGGGTCTTGGCTTTGTCCCCGACCTTACCCCCAGGTAGTTTGTGTAGAGGACATATGCTAAAAAGACCCTGGAGCAGGTGTTCAAATTCTTTGGCCTTCGCCAGCTGCTTAGACAATACTTGGACTTGGAAGTCCGGGTAGAAGACTGTGCACAGGAGTATTGCTCCCAGATAGATTTTTGCTCATCTGCGATGCTGATAGAACCCACTGTCGCTGGCCTCTCCGCTCAACCAAAAAGGTTATCCTCATACTGGCTTGGGGATCCTGGTGGATCCCTTGGTGCCTGTTAGAACTAATAAGGCAAAGGGGCTTCCTTGGTTTCTATCAAACGGGCCAGGTAGAGAAGAGGAAGGGCCGCGTAGTAGAAGATGTAGAGCAATAAGAAGTGAAAGTAAGTCGACAAGTAGAAGTAGAAGTTTTTTGCACCCAACGGCGTAGGTCTCAAACCGTGTAGGACCGCCGAAGAGTATGCACTACGGATGTAAGAACACACGGGCGAACAGTTTCTGCAAAGAACTTTCTCGTAACCAGCTAGTGAATATCACGATAACAAGCTGTCATGCGTCACACGGGTATGTAGGCACGCGTGGCGGGTGGCTTAGCCACTCAATTCCAAAGGTCCATCACGCAGGTGCCCATAGATGCAGTGCAATAGCGGTCTGGTTGCTTTTGGTGGTATATCCATCATAGCTGAGGAAGGTTCCTGTGGTAGTTACCTCAGGAGTCCCAATCATAGACGTCAATCTGCTTGTTTGTGTTCAAGAGCACTGAGCTGCATCGAATGTCAGCTGTGACGGCCCTGAGGCGAGACGGAACCGTGCGAGGGGGTAGTGAAGACGATCGCTAGACCAAGTGCTTCAAAACTGGGACAAGGATTGCTCGAGATCGCATTCACATCGACGAGACATGCTGGCAAGCCAAGCGCAAGAGACAGTGGTTACTGACTCGTTGCTGAAAATGCTTCCTGCAATGACCCAGAGCTGAGGTAGAGCAGGTCTACTGGCTGTGGCTAGTTATGCCCTGAAGCTTGAAACCCTGTAGACGTAAGCGCTAAACAGTAAATTCCAGCAGCCCCCCTCCCAAAAAAAAAACATTGTAAATCCTAAAGCCCGGAGCCACAGACCCTGAAAAAACCAAACCTCCATCCCAAACCCTATTATGATTATAGCTGCTGTACCATTAGCAGTTACAATATATATATATATAGCCGACCGTGACTATAGCATCTTGTGACTCTTCACCTTGGCATCTTACAGTTTGACCCCGACAGCTTCATCCCGCAGGCAGGGCACACAGCAGAATCTGAGGACCAACTCATCTTACTGGTGGTTCGGGGAGAGTGGTGGAGCAGATTCCTACAACTATGCTAAAATCCCTGAAGCCCACATATATATGTATGCATATAGATCATACATATACATATGTATGCACTGGACTTTGGGATGCGGGGCTGGTGGTGATGGTCTCAGCTACTGGGAGGAAGGACATGAGGCTCAGGGATCAGGGTTTAGTGCCAGTTGTTTGGTTTTGATGGTTTTGTCTTCCAAGTTTTAGATTTCAAGGCTCTGGGTTCAGGACCTCTTCTGTTTCTCCGTCTGCACTTCAAGCATCCTAGCGTGCGGGAAATCAGGCAATGGCAAAGTGGGGTGAGCCGGACAAGGTAGGGGTGAGATTGATGGGTTTTTCAGATCTGCTGAAGCGCAGCTACATTAGGTCTAGGTCCTAGGTTGCTTACCTATCCATAACCCTAAGGCCGGCATTCTAAACCCTGGACCTTAAGCCCCAAGCCCTGGACTCCTCAAACCCTCAACCTCCAGGCCCTGACTAGCCCTATGCGAGAGGCCCAAACTTCAAGCTGCAAACCCCTGAACCCCCAAACTCAAACCCTGTAGATCCCCACTACAGCCCTAAGCCCTATACACCCCAAACTCCAAGTCCTACTGGTCCTACTTCTAGACCCTCTAGACCCTGAACATCACTACGTAGATTTACACGTCCCTCACATGACGATTTTTGAGCTTCGTTAAAGGTACCCTAAAGCAATAGACGTGCTTTTGCGCGGCAGGACTCCGCTGCAGCAACCGCGGCGGCCGCGGCGAGCTGGATAAGAGCCTCTGGGCAGGCGCCGTTTTCTGACCCGCGTTTGAGCGGCCTCAGGTGTAGGATGTTCAGTTGAAGGCTTTGAAGGTTTTAGGATGTGCTGGTTCTAGTTTGTTGGATGTAGGGTTTGCGTATTGGCGGCTAAAGGCCGATGATTTAGGGTTTAGGGCATAACCGGAAAGGATTGGGGTTTTTAGGTTTGATCATATCGGGCTTTTAGGGTTTGGAGTTGCAGGATCATGCTGTCAGGGCTGGGGGGCGCTTATGGGGGACTCAATTTTTGTTTGAAGTTGTTTTGGGGAAGCCCTGCATGCGTCCTAAACTCTAAGCCCTAAGCACGAAGCTCTACGCCCCAAAGCCAGAACCCTAAACTCCAAACCTCGGAACCCTAAACTGTAAGCTTAGAGCTCTGGGATTGCTTTAGCCTCCCTCACTAGGAGAATACCGGGTTGCTGTTACTTGAGGAACTTGAAGTAAGGTACTGCTATAAGGAAACCCTGTCATTTACTATATACTACATACCTATAATAGACTCTGAAACTGCTGAAACCCCAAAACCCGCTCCCAAATGAGCGTCAGACGCAAGCCACTAAACAGCTGTAATTCAAGAGGCAGTACTGCTGGAACTCTTAAATGGTCAGAAGCAACGAACTTACTCAGTATGTTATCACCGGCTCAGGCCACACAGTACACCGCTTCTTGGCGCAGATCCCCTTGAAAGAGTGCTGAGACGGTAGTTTCATGCTGTTTCCATAAATAGGTCGACCCCCTAATTAGCCCCCAAAATATTTGAATGCGTATTGTTATAGGGACCCCCAACAAAGCACCCTCAAATTGGGGAAGCCCTAAACATATGTATACATATATATGTCCCCTTATAAGCCCTTTATGCTGTTCCATGTCCGGTTCAGGGGAAAGTAAAGCAAAAGCCATCCCCGTGAGTTTCTTGCCGCAAGGATGCAACAAGGTCGCTGAGTCCCAGGCAGGACGTTTTTAGAGGTCGTGTCTCGGGCTCTGTAGGATTCAGGATCGAGGGCCTTGAGGGGTCTAGGACTTTGAGGTTTAGGGCTGGGGGGGCGGAGGGAAATGGTGATGCACGGACGGCTAGAATTCGTAAGCTTTCAGGGTTTCGTCGGTATTGAGCCGAGATATAAGTATGCTTGCTGAGCCCCTGATCCCCCAACTAAGACTGACTGAAGGGCTTTGGGAAAGCTAGGGGTTGAAATTTTGGAGCTTTGGGGATCTTGGCGGTTCCTGTCTTTGGTTTGGTGCCTAGGATTGCCTAGGCTTTGAGGGCTCAGGTTAGAGTTTGAGCCGACTCAGCAGCTCTCTTGCCGCAGCTGTCCACCAAATGTTTGGGAACGGCGTAGCCACGAGGATTTCTGGGACGAGATCTACATTGCCAACATGACGGACGCGGAAATGCGTCAGCACGACCATGCCATGTTGTCAACGACTCTAAGGAACAAGCTGTACGACAAATATCCATGGGTGCACTGCAACACTGTCGGGCTCCGGATGCCCCAGCGGTTCCCGATCGAAGTTGTTTTCTGTAAGGCGAAGTTGAGGGCAATTTGAAGCATTCTTGAACGATGGATGCGATGCCTCATTCTTTCTAAGCCCTCAACCCAAAAGATCTAAGCGTGAACGCCCAATACTCTCAACAACCCTGAAGTCCCTGAATCCTCAACCTTGCACCCTCGAGCCTGGCAAGACGGAAAAAAGAAGTAAATCTACACGCCAGCTTTTAAATGAAGGCACCTCATGAAAGTTTAGCATGGTCCCATGTGGGAGAAAGCATATCTTGTAGCCTTTGAAAACGTTCACCGCAATAGCCAGTACCAGTGTTTCACAAGATTCCGACTGGGTATTGTCCTTCATCTTCGCCCGAATAAAATCATATATATGGGGCTCTGGGATGAACGGAGGCTGTAGCTCATACATCCACTGCCCTGAAAATGCTGAAGCTCTAAATATCTCAGGCCCTAGACGCCGCAACCTAGACCTTCAAACCATGAGCCCCAAGTCCTGAACCGCAAAAGCTGTTTCTGCACCCTGCAAACCTCGAACCCTAAGCCCTTGACGTGAAGTCCTAAGACCTATACCCAAAGGGTCCAGGTAGCTATGTGGGATATACTTAGGCCTGTTAGTAGGTATAAGGTCACCCGTTCGGGCCCTAAGTACATACCATGTGCATACATGGCCCTTGAAAATATTCCCCAATATCTAAACGCCATGTATCCTTGAGATAGTCCCTAGGCACCCTATACATCCCGCTATGACCCCAAGTAAGAAAAGTCTCAGCTTAAAGGCTTCGCGTTACAACGCGCCCGAGCTCGACTTTGCCGGCAGAGCGTCAGGCTCTTGCAAGCAAGGCGCGGGTCTTGGGGTTTTCAGGGGTTTGGGTTTGAGGGGTTCGGGCTGTATCTGTTGGGGTGGTGGGGGTTCAGTGCTTGGGGGTGTTGAGGGTGCAGGCGCTGCGTTCCAGTTTGGGGTTTCGCGGTCGCTGGTTTAGGTGCGATGTTCATAATCGCTTCGCCCCAAGAATTGGCCCCAGCAAGATATTGTCCATCATTGTTGGAGGGAATGGTCTTACCTCGAGGGCAGAGGGCTGTGGGGCGTAGATTTCTGTCTTCTGATAATGAACATCGCCCTTTCCCTCTCATGGCACTTTGGCGAAACCCGTCATATTCCTGTATGATTTTGTCTACAAGGTTCAGATGTAGGAACATGCGGTTTGCGACTGGGAGTCAAGTGCAAAGGTTTCGCAGGCTGGCCAAGAAGTTGACGTGCTGTGGTATTTGGACCCTTTGGCCCTGATTCCTATATTCTAACCCTAGATGCTACAACTCAACCCCAAACCTATAAATCCTCAAGTGAGCCCTATAAACTTGAACAAGGCCTAAGCTCCGCAGCCTAATCCCCCCGACACCCACGCCCATCCCATGTTACCGCTCAGCTTTTTGCATCCTTTTCAGGTCAGGCTTGGAGATAGGCAAGTCTTACATGATCTGAGGCATTGATGCAGAGAGTGGAAGGCATACAAGGGCTATGAAGAGCTTAAAGGGGGAAACATCCATAAGAAGTAAACACTACGAAATATCAGAATCTTCCTTTGTGTTCTCAATTGACAGGCAGCCACCAGTGATGGTGACTATAGGCAGCTCTTGGAACACCACCGGTGCAAATCTCAGATTGCGGGTGAGGGCGCAAGGGTCTTAGGGTTACTGGGCTTAGGGCTCAGACTTGTGCTGGGTTTCGAAGGTTGATGTAGGATGGAAGGCTTCAAGGCTTTGGATGCATTTAGGGTTAAGCTTGTGTTTTTGATTCCTGCCAGCAGTCCTACTACTCACTAGGGTTGTGGCCAGATGTTCTATGGTACAGGATTTTAGGGTGTAGGTCAGCTTGGCAGGTCTTAAGCCACGCGATTTAGGCATAGCCCCCAAGTTGTCACACGCACCCGCATCAGAATGACTCGAGTATCCCAGGCGAATTTGCATGACAAGAAACTTCAGGTTCTACCCAGCCCACAAGCCCTCAATCCTAACCCTGGACCAATGTCCCAGTTAAAAGGGGCCGACTGTTTGCATGTTCCTGCTTTACTACGGTGCTCTGGTGTAGGATTTCAGGTCGGCGGATACCCCACCCTCCGCCTGATCTCGGCTGTGGGTTTAGGGTTCGGGAATGGGAGTGTGGGGTTGAGGCTTCAGAAAGCAGTGTGCCGGGACTGGGATGTAGAGATCCGGGTGAAGGGTGTAGGGTGTCAGGTTGAGGGTGACGGGCTTCATCTATCCCAGCAGTGCACGTGTTGGATTGAATCCTTGTCCACACATTGAAGCCCCCAGAAGTCTACAACAAGCATACACCCTGGTCCATTAATCTTAGATCCTGCGGTTGATTATCTCTCAGCTGAATATGTACATGAACCCTCAATTTTGAACCCCGAGCTTGGTCCTGAACTTTAAGTCCTTCAATCCCAAACGCTGCAACCCCTTCGTCCTTAGTTTAAGAACCTCCAAGATACCCTCCATAGAGCGCTAAACCCGAGCCCCTGAACTCTAAGGTCACAAAACCCAATCCCTAATCCCCCAGAAACCGACCCCCAGAACGTGAACCCTATCCCTATGAGCACCCATTCCTAAACCCCAAAAGCTCTGCATCGCTAAATCCTAATCCTAAAGCTCCACAAGAGGCTTTCCCCCAGCTCAGTGGTGCAGGAGTAGTATAGGGACTCAGTAGAGGGGCCTTCCTACAACCCAAAACCCTACAAACCCCATAGTAGCTTCCATATATTTCTCCACTCCTTTGAGATACCCCGAAAAGGTACCCCCCCTAATTTTGGGAAACCGTAGACCCTAATCCTTAAACTCTAAACCCGACAAATCCCTATATCTGATTTACCAAAGCACAAGCACGCCAAGGCGAGAGATTCGCGAACACCGCGAAGCCGCAAGACGCGCCTCGCCGGAGCGTGCAGCTTTGGCCACGATTAGGGGGCGCAATAAGCCATTCTCTAAACTCGTTGAGGGGGGTTATATGAGGGAATATATAGAGGACTCGGAGGATACTAGGACTAGGAGTTTAGCATATAGCTGAATACGGGCTCGAAGGAGTAGGGGTTTAGGACTCTCAGATTTTTGCAGTTTAGGATCGAGCTTCGAGGGACTCAGGGCGCCTAGTACCCCTTATTTGAGGAATGTAGCCTGTAAATCATATACAAGGGATCCGAGTACATCTTCTTGAATTGAAGAGTATTGGGCTGTGTGACTTTATAGGATGAAGGGCAGGGATTAGTGCTTACCGATGCAGGGATAGGGGTCTAGGGGTTGAAGGATGAAACGCTGATTAGGGGTCTTCAGGGCTTAACATGTAGGAGTGAGGGCTTAGGAACTGTTGGGTTTCGTGTTAAGGGGTTAAAGTTCCGGTGTTTTCGGATTGATATTTTTCGAGCTTCCGGCAGTTTAGTCCAACATGCCACAGAACGCATGTTTTAAGGTTCAGCGTTTGAGAAGGGTTGTGAAGAGTTTGTAAACCTGGGCTCTTTTTGCCTCAGCCCCTGGAGCCTGCCTTGTTTCTTGGAGTTGACTTTGCTGTGTTGATGCGTTTGTGTTCGTATTTGTCCGCTGGCTGTGTGGGATCTTTCTGGCCATGTAGAGGCCTCGAAAATTACCAACTCTATTATCCAATAATTTAAGCCCTACTCCAATCATCTCGGCCCCCTACACCATGCCTTGCTTCACCATTCCAGTTTCAATTTGCATCTGCTGCGGGGTCGCAGCGTGCGACTTCGGCAAATAAATAGTCATCCGCCTCAATGGCCAAGAGCCCTTATCCCAAAGCTTTTAGGCCAAGTCAAGCTCTAAGTACCGAAACCTACCAGCCCTAAAACCTCTAAGCTCTGAACCCCATGCGTTATCAAGCCTAAGCATAGCGAGTGCCTGATCTCCAAATCCTGCTACCTAAATCCTCAACTTTCAACCCCACGTAGTCATAACATCCCCATGTGCTCAGGTAGCCAGATGGGGGGCCTGGGCCAAGTAAAAGCCAGGAGATCCAGTGGTCCAAAATCACACTTTAGAGCTTTGGGTTGAAGGTTGGCCAAGTAATTTCTGAAGATGTTAAGGATTCAGGATTAAGTTTCAGGGAGGTTTTGGGGGCATAGATGTGATAAAGGGACGTGAATGCTAATGGAATTCAGTGCAAGTGGCATCAGGTATTTAGATTGTAGAGGTTACAGAGAGTGTCCTAGAACGATTTTTCAAATATGATCCATGCGAACTCCTACGATCTCCTTCTACTCCTTAAGCAAACGCCCCTATGGTACGGGTTGCGCCTGTGATTTCTAAGCCTCAGTAAACATAGGCTCGGTATGTAGTGCTTAGAGCGTCAGCCCCTGCTGTTGATGCTAAAGCTGAGTACCCTATACCTTGGGAATAAGGGTACTTCTCTGTAATGAGGTCATGCAAGAACTTTAGTAGCAAT